TTTTTTTTTTCAGTCGGCGCTTTCCCTGCTCCTGTGTTGTGGTGAGTCTGGACGTATGGGTCCTTCGACGGGGGCGGTCCTCGGTCCCGGCATGGGTTTTTTATACGGTTGCACCAGTCCATGCACAACAAGAAACATGTTATTATTCTTCATCTCCTCATATTTTATCGATCACCCTGTAATTGGAACTTTGCAGATTTGTATGGTTTATATTTAGTATATTTTTGGTATATTTTTATCTCCTCATATTGTATCGTGTTTGTATCGTTTCTCCATGTTATATGTATGGTTTATATTCAGCATATCTCGGTATATGTGTTGTTTAAATTTAGTAAAATCATGAAAAACATATACAATACATATACCATCATTATGATTTGTATTGTAAGTATATATACCGACATTATATTTTTTCTGGTATATTCAGGGTTATTTTCAGTATATTTTCGGTATATTCAGGTTTATTTTGAGTATATTTTTCAGTATATTGTCGGTATATTTCAGTATATTTTTTGGTTTATTTTCTAAATACTATTATTTGTATGGTTATTCAGGGTTTATAGTTAATATATATTCGGTATATTCTCAAAAGAACAATATTTAAAAAAACGATTAAAATAAACTATATATATATATATATTTAGCATTAAAAAATTAAAAAACCCATTTAATGAATTATCAAAGATAAAACAAAAAATATAGATAAAAAATGAACCATTTTTTTTTTTAGGTTTAAATGAATATATTAACTGCCTTTTAAGCATTGATGTAGTTAAATATGGTCTGCAACGGAAATTAAGGGATTGAGGTGTAATGGATATGATAACTCCTTTTAAGCATTAGTGTAATTAACTGTAATTTTTTAAGTAAAGACATAATTAATTATATTTGCATGATAGAATTGTAAATATTTATAATTCATGTAGGAAATATGAAAATTTCCCAATTATCTACGAGAGATTGATTCGGGCCCAGTTTGTTCGAGCACAAGTAACATCAAGCCCATTAGCTTGCCATCAGGTCAAGAAAATCTGCTCAGCCCAACTCAGATAAACGTTCAGCCCATTTGACGAGTTCTGAATTAGACCCACCACACAGCGAAAGAACATTCACCTTTCATCATCCACTCTTTGGGGATGGCGTCGTCTTCATCTCTCCTCCTTTCCCCTTTCTCATCTGCAATCGCCACAGAAAACCAATGTCAACTGGGCTGCAACTCCAGCGCTTCAACTTTCATCCACAACCCGAAGCTCTTATCCGCGGCGAAGCCCCGGAGAAGCTACTCGCGGAGGTGCGGGTTCAGGTCTCCGGTGGCTCGGAAATCTCTTGACCACATACCTAAGCAGTTCAGAGGAGAAAATCTCAAAGATGGATGTATGTTATCCGTTTTGTTTTATATATATATGTGTGTTGTGTTTCCGATTTTGGATTTCGAATCTGCTTTCGTTTGGTGCCTGGAGTTGATTTGTACTCGCGATCGTTGCTTATTACGATGTTCTTTTGGGATTTGGAGATATTTATCTATCTGTATTGTTACTTGGACAAATTTTACCCATCAATTTGAAAGGCCTGTATAGTAAGTAGAAGTTAAATGGACATAGGTAAATATCACTGGACTAAAAATCGGCCTAGGCGCTCAGATTTTGAATGAATCGGCTGAAAAAATCGGCTAGGTTGAGCCTATGTGGGCTTCGGCGGCAATTTTTCAGTTTTTTTAAATACTATTTACATTATTTTTTTTTATCATGTTTTCTTTATAGTATATTGGTATTATTATTTTGGACTTAGGTCTGTGAGTTTATTATAAGTTGAGAAATTTTAATCTGTAGGAAGTGAAAATAAATAAAAAATAAGGTATTTAATCTTAATTTCTAGGACCCCTCTAGGCGCTAGGTGCTTGACTAGTAACTAACGACTTTTAGAACACCGTAAATATCAAGTAAAGAAGAGTACGAATGACCTAAAAGCATCTTTAAAATTATACAATTGGCAAACAACCTCTATTGCATCCTTCTGTTAATTCTCCTTTTGTATTTGTTTTCAAGTGTTATCGTGATAAAGATACTTTTTATGCTCTAGTCTTCTTTTGAGAAACGACTAATGAGCTGTTTTGTCGATCTGCTGATGTTCCTTCATATGAAGACACCCAAATTGGAGGTGATCTTGCAGGTGTATGAGAGTGTTTAGATGGATTCTATCTCTAACTTTCGACTAAGGTTGTTAATTTTGATATGTTGAGTGTTTTGACCTTTGCTAATTGCTGAGATTTGCGAAATTTCAAGTTCTGGGAGTTATTCTGAGGAACCATATATATGCATTTTAATTGCAGTTTGATCTTGAGAATCGGTTTAGAATGTTAAGACAACTGCAAGAATCAAAATTGGACTTCTGTTTGTTGGCTTTTTTGTTCTTAGTATATGATTTAGGAGATGGGAGACAACAAAACCAATGGTACAGTCTGTTATAAGTTCTTTATATTCTCCAAATGTTTATGCTATAAAATGCATGTCTTCTTTTTTATTTTCTTCTTTTCTTCACCATGCTGGCATGTTAAAATCTCTTATGGTATCTACCTTGTTCTTTTGTAATTGTAGTAATGGAAAATTACAAGAATGTACCTGAGTTTCTCTATGGTCTTACACCCCCACAGATGGATATGTTCATGAAAAAGCATAGTCCCATCAACCAACTATCGGCAAACGTGAACGAGGTTTGTCTCTCGTCCCTGAGAATTGGGAATATTCTAAATTTTGTTGCTTTGTATGTATTCTTTGTACTTTTCAAGCATCAGAACAATGCCTTTTCCACTTGCAGTTTATTTGCTTAAATTGAGATAGAAAACATTAGTTCTATACTTAGTGTCATGAGAATCTTTTGTGTAAAGGACACTCATTACTTGGGTTTTCTTTCAGGAAACCCTTACAGCTGCGCACAGTTACCTGAATGGTGCTGGAATGAGTAGACTCTCTGGAAGTATGAATCCAAGCATGAGTGCAAGCATGAGTATAACCATGCCTGCTATGTTACCTGAAGATGATGATGATGATAATGATGCTCCTGATTTGCCGTCTTTGATTTTAGATTCCCGCGTTGTCTATTTGGGCATGCCTGTATTGTTAAAACTATGCATATTATTTTTTACATATTATATATTTTGAAATTTGAATATCTTTGTCCTTCTGATTTATTTCTGGTCATTTATTGCAACAGCTTGGGCCGTCCGTGGTTGAACTTATTGTTGCACAACTTATGTATTTGGATTATATGAGCGGAACTGAGCCGATACATCTATACATCAACTCAACGGGTACCCTGGTAATCACTTAAACATGCATATTATATGGCATGCAAGTTTTAGCCTTATTTTTATCTTTGTTTCTCTGTAACATTTGTGTTCTTATCTGCCTCTATTTGTTTGCCTAGAATGGGAACATGGACATTGTCGGATCTGAATATGGCGCATATGCGATTGCTGACTCTATAGTTGTAAGCTCCTATTTGCATAACGTTATTTTAGGCAATGCTTAGTGACCAAGAAGAAATTAGTTTGGGAATATTTGATGTTCTAGCCACCTTAGAAATGATAATGTGTTAATTATCATCAGAATTACTCACAGTGAACTTTGAGACTTTACCGTTGTTCATTTTATTTATTTATTTTTGGTTTTGGTCATTTAACCTTTGATCTAACTGAACTTTTCATGTTTTTGTATCAGTCTTGCGAAGCTAAGGTGTATACCCTAAATATAGGACAGGCACTTGGCCAAGCTGCAATGTTTCTGGCTCTTGGAAATAAAGGCTGTCGTGCAGTGCTGCCAGCGACAACCAGTAAGATCCGACTTTACCCTTATTTTCCTAGGCCCACAGTATGTTTAGATCACAACTTGGCTAGGATCTCACTGAAAGTGACAGGGAATCTGACTTTATTCTCTGGCTTTACTAGTTGAACACTTAATGAATTTCCCTGATTACATGATATCATGTCTCGTCCATTTTTTGTTTATTTGTATAATAAAAGTAAGAATGATTGTTGCGTCAAACTTGTACTACATTTTATATCCCGGTCCATGATGAAGCATAAGGTTGCCCCATCTTTTATATTTTTGAGTTGATCTGTAATACCCTTTCTATCTTGTGCTGCAGCACAATTGTACCTTCCGAAAGACCCCAGAGCAAGTGGAGTTGCCACTGACATGTGGGTTAAGGTCCCCTCTCTCTCTCTCTTTCTCTCTCTCTCTCTCTCTCTCTCTCTCTCTCTCTCTCTCTCTCTCTCTCTCTCTCTCTCTCTCTCTCTCTCCATCCATCCCTCCCTCCCTCCCAATCGTTTTATTCATTTTCAGTTTTCATAAACTGGTTAGGGGAAAGAGATAGATGTACTGACGGATATTTACCTGGGGTTCTTGTCCTATGGAATTGGGAAGTCCAAGGAAGAACTTAAAAACGACATGAAACAGAGACGGTCTTACACTTCACAAGAGGCCGTCGACTATGGCATTGTCGACAGGATCGTGTACACCATGAAGAAACCGGTCAGTAATTATATAATTATAGTTTTCAAACAAATATAATTATATAACATTTTTAACGCTTACCCTTGCTATGACTTCAGAAGCCAGGCGAGTTGCTGGCTAAGCCGAAAGCATTTGGGCAGTCAGCATATGGAGCGGGGGTGTCCAATGCCTGAAATGTTTTGTATTTGAGGCAGGATTAAGGGTATGTATTGAAATATTTTGATTGTAAGGGACTAGAAAGATATTACAGAACTCTTGGACCTACTTTTTCCTGTTAGATGTTGCCCACATTGTAATTTGAAGCTGAAAAAGGGCATGTGTTTTACTCACTCTTTTGTTTAAGTTCAGTATGCAAATGCATAAGAGGGGATTGGGATCTCCTTTGGGAACTTCAAATGATAATAGTAAAAGTATTTGTGGCTAGCTTTAACAAGAATGAAAGATGCTATATTTGTAATCTTGATAATTTTATGGTGGTGATATGAAAATATTCATATCATTGGACTGACAAGTGGTCTTCGGCACCACCCGACCATTGTCTTAATCTTTGCCGTAGGTAGGGGTGAGCAAAACCGAGCTGGAACCTAAAAACCGAGCCGAACCGATGTATTCGGTTCGGTTTTTCAAAGTTTGATTTTTGATGCTGTTAAAATTTTGAAAAACCGCAAATAGTTCGGTGCGGTTCTGTTTTGTGTCCGAAGTGTGCGGTTTAACTGAATTGCACCGAATTTGTTAAAAGACAATTTATTTGTACTATACATTGCATTTTGGGCTTTGGGTTTGGGGTCTTTGGGGCTTGGGCCGCTTTTAAAATCTAATAACAATACAATTAACAATTAAACAAACAATTTACAATTCACAAAAACTTATAATTCTAATTTCTATATCTTGCCCTGGGTTCATTTTCGCCTCAGTCCCAACTCTAACTCACGCAGTGCATTAAAAAAAAAAAAAAGAAACTCAATCATACAGGCTCGTCACACTCGGGAACAATTCCGGTCAGGAAATTCAAGGAGACTGTCGAAAATGACCAAGTTTCGATAGTTCTCGATTTCTCCCCTCATCGAGCCCACAAAATTAGTCTGCCATAGCAACAATCTTTCCACTTTGAGGAGCTTCTCGATTTCCTTTAGAATGGGGCCAATGAGGCTGTTTTCATACAGGTACAAGCCCACGAGCTCCGTGCAGTTACCGATTTCAAGAACCCTAATTTTGTTTCAAATTGATTTATTTTTGGGTTTTTTTTAGTAATTTGCGGTTAACCGAAACCGCACCAAATCGAACCGAAAATTTCGGTGCAATTTTGTTTCGGTTTTTCCTCCATGTTCGGTGCGGTTCGATTTGCAAAAATGTATATTTTCGGTTATCGATTTTTTCGGTTTGGTGCGATTTTTCGCCGAACCGCACCGATGCTCACACCTAGCCGTAGGTTCTTCCCATTTACTGTTGAGGGATGTAGTCGTTAAGTTCCTACTTCCTATTGCCAATGGCGGTGGTGGTGCCTTTTTTTATTTTTAATGTATTTATTTCAATTACGTAATTTGTCATTATTTATTTTGGTATTATACTTTTGCAATAAATTATTTATGTATATATTAATGTAATTTCGGAAATTGTTTAAAATATAAAAAAGGTTCTCTAAAATTGGTCTTAAAAAAAAAATATTTAAAAATCAAAGAAAATCGAATAGAAACGCTAGAGGAAGGGCTTGAACCTTCGACCTTGTGGTTAACAGCCACACGCTCTAACCAACTGAGCTACTCCAGCTGTTCATATAATTATAACAACAAAGAAATATATACATATCAAGACTTTGGCCACCTTTTTTTTTTTTTTTTGTTTCTTTAAACAATTATATGATTTACCACTAAAAATTTTCTTAATTTCAATAAATTGAGAAAATGAAACGTAAATCTATATCTATCTATAGTTATATATTGAATAAAGTAAGTGCAAAGCAACATAGTATTTCAAATATTTTTTTTGCTTAATTTATACATTGATCATTGGCTAAAAGTCAGTATTTAATCAACATGATTTGACGAGTATCTTATCCCCATCCGGTTTTAAATTAGGCTAGCGTTACCCTCCTTCTCTTGCACCGAAAAAAAGTAAGTATTTAATCAATCTAAATAGTGAATAAATTGATATTTAATATCTGATATGTATAAAATATACTAATGTCTATCAATAATTAGGAGTCCTTTTTATACATTTAAATTTTGTCCTCAATGAGTATATAGTGTACTAAATGTCTACTATTAATTATGAGTCTCATTTTATAATTTATTCCATACATTTTAAAATATATTTACGGACATATATTCTTTGCATATTGCATTAATTATAAGCCTCTGTCGGTTGGTCCCAGTTTAAATTTCTTAAGTCAAATACCGAACCGAACCATAAATTTCTTGGTCACGAAATAAATCAAACCAAATTATTCAAAGCAATATAGCTCCGTTTGATTTTTCAATTTCGAACCATATAAAAGGACATGTTAAAATAAAAAAAAAATAAAAATAAAAAAAAAATAAACGCAAAACTTCAAACGCGCCCAATTGCATGGCTTTCTTTTTGAAAAATATGGCATACACTTTAAAATAAATTTTTTTAATTAATATAGTCAAAAATACTTTTTAGATCAAAAAAGTGAAATCATTTTAGGTTTGCACATTTAAAAATTTTAGGAATTCGCAATTAATGGCGATGATAAAGACCATGCTGATCCAATCAGCAAGAAATCCCAAGATAGAACCTAAATTCTGGTCAAACTTATGGATTATTAATTTAAAATAATAATTATAGTAAGAATTCGACATGAATGTGACATAAAAATAATTTTATTATTTATTACTCCCTCTTATTCATATAACTAGTACGTATCCCATCCCGCGCGATGCACGGGACAAATATATTAAATGAGTTATTTTCACAACTTTTTTCGTTTAAGTCTAAAAAGTAATAGAGTTATTATCTATTTTCTACATCTTTTAATCAACGTTAAGTGTTAAGTCTAAAAAACAATAGGGTTATAAGTTTTTTTCCACATCTTTTAACCAATGTTATTTTTTTTAGCCAGAACATTAAATATGAGAATGTTAGGGCTAGCTTGTAAGATAATTAATATATTATCCAACTAAAACATTTATACTAATAAAAAATTAATTTTAGCATATAAATTTATCCCTTCATATAAGAGAAAGTAATAGTTTTACTTATTCTTGTTCACCATATAATATTTAATTATTATTTTATTATATAATAAAAAGAAATCTATGAAAATTATTAAGCCGTCTTCTGACAAATATGTATGGAATTATGTGTTCGTATCTCATAAGTCACAAACATAATGAATAACCTTACAAATTATTCATTCAAACTTTTATTCATTGCAAGTATATTAAAATAGTTTATATATCGGCCATTAAATACCACATTCAATATATTTAAAAATAAAAAAGTACATAAAATTTCTGGTGTGTTTAAAATAATTTTTTATGGGCTCAATTTTCAATCAACCAGACATTTGGTCAAACGCATAGGTGCGTTCAAATTTAAATCATTGGCATTTTGTTAGGTTGAAATTTAAATCAGCTATCATAGTACAGTGATGTGTATTATATATATATATATATATATAATTATTTAACAAATAATATGTGTTTTATAAAAATAATAATAATTTCACAAGATTTTAAATATAAAAATTGGTTTTTAATCACAATAGAAAAATCATGATAAGTTGTATTAAAAATGTGTTATGGGATAAAACAATTAAATAAAATACTTGATGAAGATAGAATGCATTAATTACTTTTGACTTTTCTTACTACTAATTTTGGTAAATAAGATGATTTTTTTATATAAGTATATATTTATTTATATAATAAATACCGTTTTGAGAAGTTGAACTGTATCTAAGAATCTTTTTCTTGTCAATTATAACCATTTTAAAATGAAGAAGGAGATGAATGTTTGGGAAAAAAAATGAAGAGTGAATATAAAAATGCGTAGTATATTTATTAGGTAAATGATGATAATAATGAAAAAAATATGTAAAAAAGATCCAAAACGTTTTAATTGGTTAATGGTTGATAAAACCAAAATTTCATTTAAAAGGAACATGTAGTATGTGTTAGTATTTTATTTGTAGCATTGTTTGCCGTTCTTATATTTATTTAAAAATATTGTACATTAAGATTTCAATGAATAGTGGATGCTATGTGATTTAATTGGCAAAGTGTTCTTTTTGGTTCATTATATTAGTTATTTTCAAGGAAAGATTCAATATTTTGGCAGACATCAAACTTAGTACAATAAGTTGAAAAATTCATCATATTTGGTCCAATAATTAGGCAATCCGGATAATTTGCCTACGTGTCAGGATTCATATTTTCCACGTAATTTTTCGAGCCAAATTAATTTCCAGATGGTGATGACTGGGCGAATGCCAGTCTAGGAAAATTTCATTTTTGGTCCATTATATTGGCCATTTTCTAGGAAAGATCTAACATTTTGGCAAACATCAATTAGTGCAATAAGTTGAAAGATTCAACATATTTGGTCTAATAATAAGGCGATCTGGATAATTTGCCTACGTGTTATGATTGGTACTTTCCACATCATTTTTCAAGCCAAATTTCCACAGCCTGTGCCAAAGCCCTATGCGGCCACACCTCATCCATCTCATTCACACGATTTTTCTTCAAATTGTCACCAACCATGATTTTCAAATCTTATATAAATTGTGAGAAAACACTGATAGTCCCTTATTTATGGTAAAAATACTAGGATTTCCCATAGACGACGTCAATTTTATACGCAAATTATCTTGAACCGCTTGAAGTGCCCCACCACGAAAGAACGTGGTAAAATCGGCAAAATATCGTGAATGCTTGTGTGTATGTGTGTGCGTTATGTGTAAAGTAAATAACATGGCACCCTTATATAGATTTGTTGCTTGCTGCCCAAGAGAGTCCTGGATAGGAATGGGATATTTTCATATCTACTTTCTAACTAGCCACGCCTCTAGAATCATTATTCATTTATGAGATAGACTTTCCATCCCAGAAGGATTCATTCTTCTCTAGGGCTTGGATCCCGAGGTCGGTATTTTGTCCTCCTGACTTCATATGTCACGTGTGCTATCATCAGGTCATTGTTGAGTAGT